AATTCCTGAAAGTCTAATTGACAAATTCGATTTTATATCTGACAATGGATACATTGGATATACATGAATTGGGCTTTACACTGGGGTACATGTCCTCCAGCGTGTGCCAGAGGCTCTCTAATTCGTCTCGCAAAATGTACACCCACGCACCCGCGCACCTATCCTTAAACCAAACAAAATAAAATTAATGACCAGACGAAAACATTGGCGGTTTTGTTCGAAATATAAAACGTGCCGACACGCATTGAGATTGTATTTGTCAAGGGTAGATGATTTTTTGCTGCATCAGAGGCTCCTGCGAGGAGGAAAAAAAGAACGTATTAAGGGTGAATTATCACAGAATCAAAATAATTCAATGATGAGAGGGAGGGGAAAACAAGCATTATAAGCGGGGCGGAGAGAATCATCGTATTCCATCGGGGTGTTCCTCCCTCTGTCCCCCCTCTGCGCTCGCCCTTTTATTCGATAATGCTGTGTGTGGGCTCATTATTCTCCAGCTAAAACCCGTTAACTTGTACTGCAATGAATGTAACTGCCGATTCCGTATTCCTCGTCATTTTATCATCATCTAGATTACAAAATTACGAATTTATTTAACTTCGGATACTCATAAATGTTTTATAAGTTTTGATAGGGCAATACAGATCTATGATTTTCTTTTTCGTGTTTTTCTACAACAATTTTCTATCACTCGTCTGTCTCCAATTGCTCGTATTCAATATTATTCGGAGAAATAATTGTTAATCAAGTTTGATAATGTAACTTGACAAAATAGATATCGGCGTTGGACGGAGAAAATTATTTGGTGAATTTCAACAACTAATTGGCGGAATTTAACAACTATTTAGTTAAAGTAGATCTGTTCCTTGTGACAATGATGAAATCGAATTTATTAAACTTCGTATATTCATAGATGTTTTATAAATATTGATAATAACTTGAAGAGAATTAAGAGAATGAACCGTGAAACATCAATGAATAATTTTTAATCTTCGATTAATTCTTTTTTTTTTACTTTTTAAAATAATTTGATTAAAATCGGTAATTGTTGAAAAATCAGGGGAGGGTTATGAATTGATTTCCTAGAGAACTGAAAAAATTTCTTGAATTCTTCGGAAAATTTCACAGTTTTTCAGATAACCGTAGATCACAGATTTTTCTCGAATTATTTGGGAAACCGAAGAATTTTCATGAATTTTGTAGAGTTTAGAATTTATGTATGAAAATCTGAGAAGCAAGAATTGATCATTTTTGCGTATGATCAATACGAAAAAATTAAAATTCGGGAAGTGAAGAATAATTTGTGAGTTGAAAAAATTTAGAAATATTATTTTTTTTCAAATGATCAACAATTAGGCAATTTAGATATGTTTTGATATAAAGATAAACTTCACGCATGAAAAAATGAAAAATATGACGCAGAAAAAAAATTGCCATTTAAAGAATTTGAGAATAATTTCGAGGTATTTTGATATAAAACAACTTCACGTTTCTTTTATCTTTAGTAAATGGGACTTGAAATTTCAAGTGGCAAAGCTTGAAATTTTTAAGAGCGACAAAATTACATGAAATTTCTGTATCTTCTTTCATTGACGAATCACTTAATTCCTTGAATATCCAAGTAATTCTCAATTTTCCGGGCCATACGGCACTGAAAACCCTGATAATTTTGAAAACATGAAAAACCCAATTTTCGTGAATTTTCAAGATAACGCTTTCACTCGAAATTGAATCCATCCCCACAACATCGAAAATTCAGCAGCTACTGTGACTGAAATTCAAAGAAATTTCCAACAGTCTCCCCAATTAAAATATTGATTCAATAATTCACTAACAAAAAAAATAATTGTCTAGTCTGTTGAATAATTCCAATGAATTACCGAATTTTCATTCATCAAATTACGACTGCATGGGACAGTGAGTCTTTCTAGCCTCCAGCGAAATAAACGCCCCGGTTCGGAAGTGATTTCGTCTACACGAGTCAAAGTCAAACGCAGATGTGCCCGCGTACGCTAATTCACCCAAGGATATTTCCAAAATCGACCGCCATTCGCCTGCCTCTATCCGTACAAAAAGCGACGAAAAAAAAAATCAGGAAGTGGCACATACACGCAACTGTCAAGAGGCGTCAGGTGGCCCAGTCCTCCATCCGACAATAGCTCAATTCATTTGGCGAAAATCCTACTGTTGAAATCTCCCATTCAAATTCGATCTTAATCCCCCAGCGTCAAATGGACCTAAGTAGGTACTTAGTTGCACATTTGGCTTAAATTTTATACCATCATCCTACCCCACTTTTATACGCGCGTGTCAGAGTTTCACTATCAGTCGCCGACAATCTCCCAACGGGGGAGAGAGACATTGGAGCCACAAATTCAAAAGTAGCTTGGGCCATTCAATCCTCGCGCTCTCTCGATCAATTTTGCGCCGCTCAAAAGAATCCTAATCGCACCCATAAAAATACAATTTTTAAAAAATATTAATTTTTTTTTTATTCAGCGACACGGAGAGAAATGTTCAGTAAAAATTACGGAACTCATAATTCCCTCACCGATTACGGAATCGACTCAGAAAATTTAAGTGACGGTATCGTAATTTTTCACAGGCGATTCAATTAAAAACTCGAGTTATTGAAAAAAAAATGGAAAAACGAAAAAAAAATCATATCTCCAAACTAGGCTGCCAAAAAAATCGAAAAAAATTTGAGAGATAATTTTTCAACCTTCCCAATCGTAGAAAAAATCGTCATCAATTTCCAAGAGGGTGAGGGTCAACGGTCGACTCATTTGGCGTGAAATACCTCATATACTATGTTCCACATAATCATCATCATTTTTCTTTGTTCCTGATACCTGGGACACTGGCACACGATATGGTCGATGTCTTCCTCTGGACGTCCGCCTTCGCATGCGCGGTAAAAAATATTAATATACAATTGCAAGTGGAGAAACGATAATAAAGCATCTTCTATAAGCGCTATTATACAACTCACCAGGGATGAATATTAAGGATAAACTTTAGTATGTGTGGAAATACGGTATAATCTGAGGATGGCATATAGACAGCCTCAGTACGTGATACGCTTGGTAAAGTCCCCGATGGTGGCTTTGTTAAGCTCGGATTCAGAGTGCCTTTGATACGTGTACTTGCACGCTAACTAACCAACCTAAGCTATCCCAAAGTACGTGCAGTCAGAGAGTATACCTGTCTATAAACAACGTTTGTGAAATACCGGCTGAGTCTCTTCCCCCTGTCCCTTGCATCGACTTTGAGCTAAATTGTCATTTGACATTGACAGTCAAATTCCCTGCCTCAAGACGAACATTCTCGACCTTAAAATTAGCATTTTTGTGCTTCTCCTCGGGAAATGGGGAAAAAGTGATCGAATCAATCGAGGGACTGGGAACTTCTGAAATCATGGTGTCACATGCCACTAAAATCAATTTGCAGTCACGTCGGAACTCAATGAAATCGCTGGCATTGAAATCACCGAAATCTCATGATTTCAAACTGTGAAGTCATTTCGTGACATCATCTGCAGTCAATAAAATCAAAGAAATCAGTATATCCATGTGACCGACGTCCAAATCTCACTTTACATCCACAAAGCAAAATCATTATCATTATTTTTCTTGCGAATATCTTGGTATATTATGAAAAAAGATTAAGATACGTTACTGCCGCAGCCAATGGCGGCTCAAGGCTATATCGACATCAAACAGTATCAAAAGACTATTTCACCTCCAACTTTTGATGATAAGGGGAACTTGACAATTGACCAATGAATTTTGAGAGAAGTAAACAAATACTTTTAGAATTCGTCATCATAGTTTATTAGATATACTAGTAATAATTTGTAATTGCTCGTCAATATTTCGTGGCAATAAATTCAATAGTTCTGATGAATAATTCTTTGGTATCAATTATTATTTCGGTTCAGTGAGATTTCAATGATTTCAATGAGCAGAAGTCATTGATTTCAGTTGGATGAAGTCGATAAAATCATGGTGAGTCATGAAATCACCGATAATTATACGTGAAATCGCTGAAATCGTAAATTCGATGAAATCATTGAAATCATTAACGTAATCGAGTGAAATTGACTGCATTTAGCAGTCACGGTGTCACTCCATCTTGGAGTTCCCAGCCCCTGGGAATCAATTCAATGAAAATGATCCTTGCTCACGACTCTGATGGAAGTGAAAATCTGCGGGATACAAAAGCCAAAGGGCCATAACCACTTAGGGAGGTTTTCGCATTGTGGCTGGCTGGCTTATAAAAAGTAAGCGGATTTTGGTCGTTGAGTGCTCACAGTTATATCTTTATAAATGTAGCCTTTCCACCAGAAGCTTGCCCATATAGCTGAGAGGATTTTTAAAAATATCCTATTGTTGATCTTAGCAATTCATTCATCGCTGGCAATGCAACGAACAAATAAATATAATAATTGAGTGTCAATGAGTCTGTTATTTTCAGATTTTCTCTTGAAATTTCTGGAGGAATTTCGATGTTCTGTTATTTCTCTCGGCGTCGGGGAGGGTGGGGCAAAATGAGACAGTCGAAAAATGACAATTTGGGAAGACTCCAAAATTAATGGTCACAAGGGTCATAATAAGAGTTACAGGTGTCAAAATAAGGGCCATGAAAATCAGAATGAGGGTCACGAGGGTCAAAATAAGGGTCATGGAGATCACCAGGGGCAGAATAAGGGTCTCTATATTATTCTGAATGGGAAATTATTATTAGTTCTCTCAAGAATAAACAAAAGTTAATGAAAAAAAAATTTAACAAAAAATTTTTTTTGCTTGAATTCCGTCAAACAGTGATTTTTCGACTGTTTAATTTTGACCCCTCTCGCCGACAGGTGTTAATTTAATAAAAATAGATGAAAAGAAGACAAGAACTGAACGGAGAGCCTGGTGCCATCTAACGAGTTAAATCCCACTCCCACACACGTGATATCTTTTACCCATTGAGCATAATTTCGTATATAACAAAAATATATGTAAAAAACGAGTTTGACGTGAAATAATGTTTGACAATCCTCTTCCGCCTGAGGCCAACACCTCAAAGGAGGATTATTTATTATCGAGAGCAAAGGAGGCTTTGCACACTGACATTTACGCAGCAAAATCCTGGTTAATTACAGCGAAATCATTATTTCCACACAGTTCCAAAGTACAGGTTAGTTTTTATTTCATATCCTCCCCGAGATAATTTTCATACTAACAATAACTAAAATTTTATCACGTTAATTGCAGTTTGAGGCCTATCGAATAGAAAAACTCTCGAAAAACGTGAAGGAAGCTGCCAAGTGCTTCAGTGAAATGTGAGTGGAAAATCGAGTTTTTCTCCTAAAAAAAAAATGAGAAATTGCTCTTGTTTTGCGCATAGTAGTTATTTTTGCTAATGAATTAGCAATATTCTTGCGAATGGTCATTTTGCTTATTTTTTTCCATTGTATATTATTCATAGCCCATTTTATTTTCTTGAATTCAATCTATTTCTTTCCAAATAATTGTTTAAGATTTTCCACTTAATGAATTTCGAAAAATTTTTGAACATTTCTATTTATACATAATTGAATGCATTCGAAATATCACATTTAAAGGAATTATCAGAAAACTAACTTTCCGGGGAATTCATGAAAAATTCGAAATTTCTAAAAATTATCCTAAAAATCAAATTAACCGAGACAGTTATTGCAACCATCTTCTAACTTCGATTTAGTCGCATAGAAACAAACATATTAAGCTATGATTGAACTCATTTCAAGCGCAATATCCAGAGATATCTGCGGAATTCTGATTTTCGAAAAATACGAACTTTTGGAACAATTTCACAGAAATCAAAATAACGATTATTGCTATCGCTTTCATCTTCGAACTCGTTCAAAAGGACATTCCAACGAATTTGTTAAGCCGTCATTCAATGAATTTAGAGCATTTTTTTATTTATCGTGTTAGAACTGAATTTCGAAAAAATTCGAAAATTGAACAAATGAATCAATGAATTAAATTTCAATTAATGGCGATGGATAGGGCTTCGATATAGTCGCATAGAAACAAACATATTAAGCTATGATTGAACTCATTTCAAGCGCAATATCCAGAGATATCTGCGGAATTCTGATTTTCGAAAAATACGAAATTTTGGAACAATTTCATAGAAATCAAAATAACGATTATTGCTACCGCTTTCATCTTCGAACTCGTTCAAAAGGACATTCCAACGAATTTGTTAAGCCGTCATCCAATGAATTTAGAGCATTTTTTTATTTATCGTGTTAGAACTGAATTTCGAAAAAATTCGAAAATTGAAAAAATGAATCAATGAATTAAATTTCAATTAATGGCGATGGATAGGGCTTCGATATAGTCACATAGAAACAAACATATTAAGCTATGATTGAACTCATTTCAAGCGCAATATCCAGAGATATCTGCGGAATTCTGATTTTCGAAAAATACGAAATTTTGGAACAATTTCACAGAAATCAAAATAACGATTATTGCTATCGCTTTCATCTTCGAACTCGGTCAAAAGGACATTCCAACGAATTTGTTAAGCCGTCATCCAATGAATTTAGAGCATTTTTTTATTTATCGTGTTACAACTGAATTTCGAAAAAATTCGAAAATTGAAAAAATGAATCAATGAATTAAATTTCAATTTATAGCGATGCATAGGGCTTGTCAATACCTTCATTTAAAAGAAATGATTCAATTCCATCTATTCATTAGCGAGAAATTAAAGAAAAAGTTTGTCACAATGGGTCGCTATCCCACAAAAAATATAAAACTTAAATTTGAGCGATTACAGTCCTTCTTTCAGAATAAAAAAAATGATGGTTTACCAAAAATTGACTTGACATAATGCTAGTTTTCAGAATTTTCCCGAAGATCGTGAAATTTGGGTGGAGATAGAGACAGTAACAGCATGTCTTCGTTCCGAGAAAAACGATCCCGAGTCAGAACTACTCTGCAAGATGTTCCAACACATTCCCCAAGAGCTTCAGCACCGACTACTTGTAATGACAGCTGACCACAGTGAAGACACTATGGAACACTGCAAACTATTGCTCCTGTTGTTAAAAAAATTTCCCCAAACAATTTCAACTCACGGTGTAAGGACAACCCGAATTAATTCTAAACCAAAACCCCATTTCCAAATAAATAACACTCGAGCTATTTTCACAATTAACAGCCACGTCTCGTCGAGACTCTCCTGACGGCCGAAAAACACAGTCACCCAGGCGAAGCTGTAAATGATTTTCGAAGACTCCTAGCCTGCGAGGCTCTGCCACTTTTGGGAGAAGCCCCTGTGGACTTAAACCCTCGATTAAGTCTACGATTGCTCTGCAAAGCCGTGGAATTTTTTCTAGCCTACGTTCAACAGCCCCCAGACTGTCAAATAACAAATCCCTGGGATCGTTTGTTCCAAGTTATTGACATTATTGGTAAAAAACTTGGATGGGAATTGAGCAATTTATTCTCAACTCCATGGAACCAAGAGGCCTACTGCGAGAGAATTCAACAGTATGCTGCTACTCATGCCAATGGACTCAGTGATGAAGTCACTGTAAGACAATTACTACTGTGTGCAATTGCTGTGTTAATTAGGATATTAAATGAGCATGCTGCTCAAATGAGTAGTTTCGATGTGCCTTACTGTCTGGTTGAGGCATTTACTGAGCCAATATTATCTACTACAGGTAATAATAATAATAATAATAATAATAATAATAATAATAATAATAAATAGTGATAAATGAAATTGATAATGATAACAGTGATAATGATAAATAGGGGAGAGTGAGGCGAAATGAAACAGTCGAAAAATGACTATTTGACACAATTCAAACAAAAATTTTGATGTGGATACGTCTATAATTGCGTTTTAGGTCATTTCGGTCCTTATGTGCAGCGCCATCTATCGGAAGTCTAGAAAATTCTAGACATTGCGAGGTAATTCGAGAAATTTCTAGAAATTTTGAAAAAATTCAAGGAGTTTCTAGAAAATTCGAGAATGAAGGAAAGACCATGGACATATCAACATCATATCAATATCATACGGATCATAGATATTTCTCGAATTGATATTTTTCGAGAAAAATTGACAGAATTTTTTCGACAGATGGCGCCACTGCCGATAAGGAACTGTAAGGACTTTCCTCAAATGCCTCCTCACAATGAAAACAGACGTATCCACGTTGAAAAAATTTTTAGCTAAAATTGCGTCAGTCATTTTTCGACTGTTTCATTTTACCCCCACCCTCGCCTAATCAATTTTCAATTATCAGAGCCAAAACCGAAAAAACGCAAAAGAGAGGAGATCGTTTTAAGCAGTGACTGCGAGTACAGTGGATATGGATTGACGTCAGCAGTTGGTCTTTGGGACATATTGCACAGTACCGAGTACATGAAGAGAGAGGTAGCCAAACTGAGCCAGCAAACCCTAAGATTGGACGCTTGGTTGAATCCTTTTCTTATTGACCTAGCTGTTTACAAAGGACTGCATCAAGATGCACTGGCAAGGTTTCCCCAGGCTGGAGGTAATTTAACAACCCACTTGAGATTAGCCAGCACTTGCTTTTGTCTCAAGGACTACGGTGTAAGTATATTTTATTACATACTTATATATATTTTTATAATTATATATCAGTTTTTGCCCAGTTTTCAATGAATATCTCGAAATCTAAGGGAGATAGCAAAATTTTTGTTACAACCTTTTTTGTAGAGCCGATTGAGAGCTACAACAAATGTCATTACGAAAATTTCGCTATTTCCCTTAGATTCGGAAATATTCTTCAAAAACACAACTGGGAGATAAGTAGTCAAACCGTTTTACCACTTCGCTACTGAAATCTATTTTTTTTATAATCTCACTATGATTTGTGGTAATTTCAATTGATAATTTGAATAATTTCAGGGAATGTTGGATTACATAGTGATGATTGTGAGCGCTTTACCTCAAACACGAGGGAAATTATCAAATAATCTGAATGCTCCTGCCACTCGACATTTGCATTATCTAGCCCTCGCGGCATTACCGATATTGCAATACTGCTGCAGATTACTGCTGAATGGGCTGAAAAGTAAATTGACTATTTCTACCGATACTGGTGATTGGGTGACGGGCAATTCACTCGTATTGATGCAAATGGATTGGCCACAAGAGGCCAATCTCTTGCCCATCATCTCCGAGCGCATTCGCATGCACGAGGCATTCAGATATCCACTGTTCACCTCTTATATTATTTGTATTGATATTCTGGAGGAACTCACTTATTTGTGGACTGAGGGTGGCGGAGGAGTCTCACTGGACATTGCTATAGGATCGGAAGTGCTGCAGGGCAGGAGGATAACGACTCGGGGGGCTGATAAGGGAGTTCGGGAGGAAGTCAGACAAGCCATGAGGCGACAGGCTGCTCGGCAAGATGTTGATCCTGTGAATGAATTAATTCAGAGGTTTATCATTAATGAGAAGGCAGCCATTCTACATAGCTTAATGATCAAGTGAATTTGCTTTTCCATTAATAAATGAATGACAAGTTTGGGTATTTGCTTGTTCCTTCAATTTCCCAAGTTTTACCAAATTTTACAAAATTTCTGCCAAGAGATCGACAACTGGCCATTTGATAGATTTTATATGATTCATTGTGTTTAAGGTGTTTCGACTGTAGATCAACGGGGGGTGAAACGAAGGGGAGTCTCATTGTTCTCGAGCCCTGATTCAATCGCTGAGCACGAAATTTTCCCATTTTCAAGCAACAAGTGGGCATTTGAACGTTTTTTGAATATTGATTTTATTTATCAGATTGATTGATTTTTTTCTCTTCACCTACGGGTGTCAAATAATTTAAACGAACGAAAAGTGCCATCTATGATCTCGGGACGGACCCCTGGATATCTGGATGCATCCAGATCCAGATTGAGGTTATAATAATACAGTCAAGCATGTCGGCGCTGCAGAAAATATCAAAATCATTGATAAAATATACAAGAAATGCTGAAGAAATTTATCGAAATTTGAATGGAGTGTTCGCCATTTATAAACCTGCGGGAAATAATCTCGCTCAGGTCAGATTGGCACTGTTGACTCACATCTGTAGAGGTTTGTATATTTCCCATTGATTGACATGACAATAAGATGACATGGCTAAATGGAACAGTCGACAAAATGATTGTTTGACGTAATTTAAATTGAAAAAATTCTTTTTGTTCGTTTTTTTTATCAACTTTTTTTATTATTGGGAGTACCGATGAGAATAATAATTTTTTACTCGTCTTATAATTCAGTTGATCAGATCAGGCCGATCACACTTTTCTTTTTTCATTCGATTGAAACTCAGCATCTCATTTTCCTTTTTCCCCCTCTGGATTTTGCTGTTTCATTTTCTTTCCAATTAATCCATTGACAAAATCTCCCGTCAAAACTTCTCAATATTTTTTCATTCTACTGAATGGAAAATTATTAGTCTCGTTAGTATTATTCTCCTCTCGAGAATTAAAAAAAGTTAAGGCCCAGGTGTACGATCTTTCGAACGTTATCTTGATGTTTTTTTTTTCATCTTTTGTCATCTGAAAATGTCAATTGAGTCCTGCATCATGCAGAAGTTTTCAAAAATTATGAATGAATAATAAAAAAAAATAGAAGTAATTCTTAATTTTTTTAAAGAGCATTTTTCATTTATATTCAGAATAAGTTGAATAACAAGAAATTGAAAAATGTTTCTGATTTACGGTGACAAATGGCGGCCTATCACCCAATATCATGCAGGGGGAAGATTGATTTCGTAAATCTTTTCCCACCCTGCACAGAGACATTTATTACGGAAAAGGCTCTTTGAAAAAAGTTGTAATATTTTGGAGAATTTTTTAATCACACTTTTATCACATAAAAATGGCAGATGACTACACACCACTGTTTTGAAAATTGAGATACCTAGCTGTCACTTCCCATGAGGACTTAGTGTTTTGTTATCCCCCATGGAAAATGACAGCTAATAGATAATTCGCCACAGCGAATCAGATATTTCTAATTTCCCCTTTTTTCAACTCATTCTGAATCTCAATTAAAAACGCTCTTTGAAAAAGTTCGGAATTTTTTCTACTTTTTTATCATTCCATCATAATTTTCGGAAATTTCTACATGAAGTACCACTCAATTGACAATTTTGGATTACGAAAGATGAAAAAAATCCAGATAAAATTCGAAAGATGGTACAACCGGGCCTAAAAGAAAATATTCACCATTTTTCGACTGTTTCATTTTGCCCCTCCCCTACATATATTACTCCGATTAGACCTGAATGGCCTGGATGTCCGACCCCCCGAGAACTACGTCCACATAGACGGTGACACTACCAAGCAAATGACCGTACGAGTGGAGCCCAGCTACGCAGATCACCCTCTGGTCGTCGGGCCACGTTATCAACCCGACGACTTCAAGCTGTCGTGGGCCCACAGAATGTCCCCTGATATGTCAGGAATAATGCTGATAGGAGTGAACGGAGGTACACGAATGGTCCATAAAATCAAAGAATCCAATGCTACGAGGTTCTTCAAAGTGAAAGGGGTGCTGGGACAAGCCACAGACAATTACTTCATAACTGGTAGAATACGCGAAAGAACTACGTGGAAACATGTTAAGAGAACACACATTGACAGAATGTGTGCATCGATGCAATCTTCTCATCAAAAGAGAATGTTCGAGTGAGTAAAGCGAAGGCATGATGTTTGAGCTTGATATTTTTTCAATTTTTTTCATTATTTTTATTGTTTTCCACTTATCACAGAGCATGTGGGCTGGATATACAATCACAAGCTGCATATGAACTCGCAGTGCAAGGACCAATCAGACCTGCAGAAAATCGACTCCCCGCGTTATATGCTATGAAATGCGTTGACTTTAAGCCACCAGAATTTACGCTAGGTAAGTACACTGAGAAAAAAATATATCAGTAGCGAATTCGTAAAACGTTCAAGTCGACTTGTCTCTTAGTTGAGTTTTTGAAGAATATCGCCGAATCCAAAGGAGATAACGAAATTTTCGTGATGACCTTTTTTCTAGAGCAAATTGAGTGCTACAAAAAAGGTCTTGACAAAAATTTAGCTATCTCCCTTAGATTCCGAGATATTTACTGAAAACTGGACAATAGTCGAAATCGACTCAACCCGGTTAATCGCTTCGCTACTGCATGAATATCTCGGAATCTAAGGGAGATAGCAAAATTTTTGTCATGACCTTTTTTCTAGAGCAAATTGAGTGCTACAAAAAAGGTCTTGACAAAAATTCAGCTATCTCCCTTAGATTCCGAGATATTTACTGAAAACTGGACCATAGTCGAAATCGACTCAACCCGGTTAATCGCTTCGCTACTGCATGAATATCTCGGAATCTAAGGGAGATAGCTAAATTTTTGTTAAGACCCTTTTTGTAGCACTCAATTTGCTGTAGAAAAAAGGTCATGACGAAAATTTCGCTATCTCCCTTAGATTCCGAGATATTCACTGAAAACTGGACAATAGTCGAAATTGACTCAACTCGGTTAACCGCTTCGCTACTGAATGAATATCTCGGAATCTAAGGGAGATAGCTAAATTTTTGTCAAGCCCTTTTTTGTAGCACTCAATTTGCTCTAGAAAAAAGGTCATGACAAAAATTTTGCTAGCTCCCTTAGATTCCGAGATATTCACTGAAAACTGGCCAATAGTCGAAATCGACTCGACCCGGTTCACCGCTTCGCTACTGAATGAATATCTCGGAATCTAAGGGAGATAGCAAAATTTTTGTCGTGACCTTTTTTCTAGAGCAAATTGAGTGCCACAAAAAAGGTCTTGACAAAAATTTAGCTATCTCCCTTAGATTCCGAGATATTCACTGAAAACTGGACAATAGTCGAAATCGACTCAACCCGGTTAACCGCTTCGCTACTGAATGAATATCTCGGAATCTAAGGGAGATAGCAAAATTTTTGTCATGACCTTTTTTCTAGGGCAAATTGAGTTCTACAAAAAAGGTCTTGACAAAAATTTAGCTATCTCCCTTAGATTCCGAGATATTCACTGAAAACTGGCCAATAGTCGAAATCGACTCAACCCGGTTAACCGCTTCGCTACTGAATGAATATCTCGGAATCTAAGGGAGATAGCAAAATTTTTGTCATGACCTTTTTTGTAGAGCCGATTGAGAGCTACAACAAATGTAATTACGAAAATTTCGCTATCTCCCTTAGATTCGGAAATATTCCTCAAAAACTCAACTGGGCGCTAAATCGACTCAAACCGTTTTACCATTTCGCTACTGAATTAATTGCCCCGATGATGAGTGAGGTTTCCCACTCGAAACGTTGGCAATAATAAATGGATTTATTTGTCCTAATTCCTCGAAGACCCCAAAATACCCGAGAATCGCAAAATGGCCTGGAGGCAAAATTTCGAAATTAATGCAATTCAGTTGGGATTCCTCATTAATAATAAATCAACTGTTCTATCACAATTCCAGAAATTGTCTGCATCAACGAAGACGATTTATTCCTGAAAAGTCTCGTCCACAACATGGGCATGCACCTGCGATCTACAGCGACCTGCAGCCAAATTCAGTGTTTTCAGTACGGAGTCTTTGGAATCGAAGATGGCCTATTGAAACGAGAATGGGACTTGGAGAACATTGCAAAAAATATGCACGCGTGTCGAAAGATTTTAGGAAAACACAAATATCTCTTCAAACAAGAGGACCCAATACTGCGAGAGTATTTATATGGAGAGAAACTCCCCCCTAATGACGATGTCAATCTCACCCGATAATTATTATATAAAATAATAGAAGTAATAATAATAATAAATTTGTAAATTTGAAATTATATCCTCATAATCATCACAAAATGAATGTTCACCATAACTAGTCATAACTGCTACGGGATCTCCGATGATCATCCCTCCTCTCGGTTCTCTCAGCTCTATCCCCTCCCCTATCCCTGCTTCTGCTCCTTCTCTTTCTACTCTGGGCAGAATCAGAATCATCAGATTTATCGGAATGCCTCGACCTTGTCCGTACCCTTCTAGGCCACTGCTGCATCTTGACACTCTTAGCAATGACCCTCTTCTGATGATCCAGCTGAGGGAAAAGATCCTGCGACTTTTCAAGTGCCTCCTTAGCCGAATTCATCTCAGCCTCTTGGATACTATGTCCAGAAGCCTTGGCCAGTCTCTTTCCCCGAAAATAAACAGCCACTGTGTAGACTCTCGTATTGGTAGGGCCTTTGCACTCGATCACCTTGTACACAGGAATATCAGGCTCACCTCCATCCATTGTTCTCAACGTTAAACAACACTGCTGCAGTTTACTCTTGGGATCATTCCAGTCCTGATTCATAATAAAGTCCTGAAGACGAGGGAAGAAGCAGACATTACAGACAACTTTGCAGGCCTCCAGGCCCTTATCCACGTACAATGCACCAAGGAAGGCCTCCAATAAATCCGCCCTGTCCTTAGTCTTGAGCTCTGCCTTCTGATTTCCATACAATGCATACTGCGTCATGCCCAAATCATCACAGACGACTGCCTGCGTCTTATTATTCACCAAAGAGCTTCTCAACAATGACAAATGTCCTTCATGATGCTCAGGAAAGAATTTGTAGAGGTATTCAGAGACTATAAGCTGGAGTACAGTGTCACCCAGAAACTCCAATCTTTGATTAGACCCAAGTGTCAAATTAGTGTAGCCAATACTTCGATCGGTGAATGCTCTTGCCAGCAATCTGATGTGGGTAAAATCCACCCCAATGGTTTCCTCGAACTTGGTGAGTTTCTGGAGGAATTCAAAGCTGGAGATCCACTGTCTATCGCCCGTTGGCTCCTGCTCTTGGAGGGGATGCCTCGGGTAGTTCACCCAAACTGACAGCAAATCACATTCGTTCTGAAATAATGTCTCGCCGAATACTCGGTCGGCCACCTCAATGCCACCGTCGAGAAACAACGAGCCCATCAGGGCCTCGAAACAATTGGCCATTGCGTGCTTGAGCTCCAAATCGTGGCAGAGATCACTGCCGTGTGCGTACAGCATGTACTGTTCCAAGTGTAATTTTTCAGCGAGTACAGCTAGATGCTGATTCTGAACGATAGCTGCTCTGTAAGTGGCCAGCCCACCCTCCTCGAGATTCGGAAACATGTGGAAGAGATGAATTGAAGACAAAAATTCCACCACAGCATCTCCAAGGAACTCCAGTCTCTCGTTATGAGCGATTGATGATTCTGTTTCTCTTCTGGCGCCGAATCTCGACATGATGTTTATCAGAGTATTGATGCCCCGTTTGCGAGTATTCATGTAGTGAATTCGCCTGTCTCCGTACTCTGGCTGGCTGATACCGCAATTTGTTAATGAATTTCTTGCGTGATCTGGGTTTGTTCCGAAGTTCTCTCGATAGCTGGGATGCGTCAGTGCCAGTTGCAATAAATATCTGTTCTTAAATTTGTACTTCAGGGTGCACTCCAAATTGTCCAGGGACTTGTGGAATCGCAGATGGCAGACTAGAACGGGAATCAGCATGGCGTGTTGGACAATGTCACACATTATTCCAGTTCGATAGAAACCCTCGGAGCTCATGTCGACAGTCACATCTCTCTTCATTTTACTCTGGGTCCTCAATTCCTGGAGTTTATTCTCTTTAGCTTCGAGTTTTCTCTTGCTCTCGAAGGATGGCTTGGGCATGTTGGCCAGGAGGTGACGGAATTTGACGTAATCCCTCCAGGCTTTTTGGTAATCAGCATTACCAGCGTAGCTCAACTGAGGGGGTCTAATTCCAAAGTGAACGATTGCTGGGTAAACAGTTCCATCATTCGTTTGATCGTCCTCTTGATTTCTGTCGAGCTGATCTACTCTTACACTACATGGCTTCTTGCCGGGATATGTAACCACCATTCCTTTGACTTCGTCAGCAAAATTCTGCCACTTGTACTGGGGCATCTCAATGAGCCTTGGGAGATCCTCCTCCTCAATCAATCTTGTGCTACTTTTTATCAAATAATTTAACACCTCATTCATGGATAAAATTTCTTGGCCCTTGTCAGGCAAATCCCTGACGAATCTGGGCATAAAGTGAAATTGTCCACAGCCACTTGTGTCCTGTGCTGGGTGCAGATCAAAGTCCATGAGCTCTAATATCTCCTTGAAGAGGTAATTCTGGAAATAATCCAACTCCTGAACAGTAAAATTCTCCGGCAACTTTTCCTCAATGTAGAGAATAGTGTATTCGATGTTGAATCTGATGACTTTGCAGGTGGGCAATTTTACCAGTGGAAAATGAGAGAGCATTGAGAAACCCTCGAATATGAATTCATGCTCGTCATGTTTGATGATTGTCGGGGTTTTGGTCAAGAAATTTGTGGGGGGACTTATGGTTATTCGATAGTGGAATAATTTGTCTGCATTGTTGGAGTTCAACTCGCAACGGTTTATCGTACCTTCACCAGCGTAAATTCCATGCCTTATTCCAGATCTTCTTGACTTGGCACTGCATCTGCATAAGGGGCCATCGTTCATTTCCCCTGGATCGTTGAACCACATTTCTTTGTGTAATCTCTGTGGGTGCTCCTTCTTGGCCATGAGTTCTTCCATTGTCCTGTCAACTTCGTCCATCGAACTGTCACCATCTGAGGAACTACTGTCACTGCTGCATATCTCTGATTTGTGCCTGCAAACTCGTCGTCTGGTTTTACGCACTGGTGGCTCATACGGTGGCTGACTCGCTCGTGTAACTGAGGCTCTATCTAGAAGGACTCGTTTAAAGATGTCGCATAATTCTTGGAGCTTTGGCGTTCCTCTCATTATTCTTGGATTACTCTCGTCTCTGTTGTAATAGAGGTCTGCTGGAGCTGTTCGGGTCCAGGCCTTTCTCTCGCACTCTAGGATCCCATCTGGACCTAGCTCGTCCATTTTTTTCTCAATATCACGACTTGTAGCGCAGTAATTTCGTCTGTAATTGAGAAAAAAAAAATTTTTCAAGTAAAAATGGTATTCTTCTATTAAAAAATTGGTGGCACCCTTTTTGTCAGCAATCTATTTCGTCAGGGATAACATTAACCCTAGGAACAAGGATAATTTGTTTTTAAAAAGATATTTTGTGAATACATTTTATATATATGAGGTATTCCACGCCAAATGAGTCAACCACTGACTCTTGCCCTCTTGGAGAATAATGGCGATTTTTTGTACCTTTGGGGGGGTTGAAAGACCATCTCTCAAATTTTTTCAGATTTTTTCACCAGCCCAGTTCGGAAATATGATTTTTTTACATTTTTTTGTTTTTTTTTCAGTAACTCAAGTTTTATTTGTCCAATTTGGATTCATTAAGCGGCAAAATTTTCCATTTTTTACCGCCTATATGAGTATTTCTAGTATTTTTTTTCGAATTTCTGAGAAAAAAAGTTGAAAAAGTGAAATTTTACAAATTACGTTACTTTTGATTTGTATTATTTTTTTCCAGTAATTCTGAAAATCCAAACAAGTATTTTGAGCCGTCATTCAAGTTGGGCATCCTCCTGGATCTATTTTATTTTCAATTTTTTCTTTTCGAAATTTCGCAAATTTGGTCAAAACACCCGAAAACCACTTCGATTATGTATGGAAAAAATATGTAATATACAGGTATAGAGTTAAATCCACTTCATACTGTCATGACATCATACTTCATACTGTCACATCATTCAGTGTGAAATAAAATAATTCTACCTGTAAAAAGTCATGTTAGAAACGTGCCATTAAATTATCTGTTCCTTTCATTCCTTAATTTTACATTCATTACTTTAAAAAATGAATGAAATGATAAAAACTACAATGAACCACTAGCTCAACGTTCTCCTAACTAGCCATCCTTTTCTCGTCCTTGTAAAATTTTTTCCTTGACATTAACCCTAGGAACAAGGATAATTTGTTTTTAAAAAGATATTTTGTGAATACATTTTATATATGAGGTATTCCACGCCAAATGAGTCAACCACTGACCCCTATCCTCTTGGAAATTAATGGCGATTTTTTCTACCATTGGGGGGGTTGAAGGACTATGATTTTTTTACATTTTTTTGTTTTTTTTTCAGTAACTCAAGTTTTATTTGTCCAATTTGGATTCATTAAGCGTCAAAATTTTCCATTTTTTACCGCCTATATGAGTATTTCTAGTAATTTTTTTTTCATGACATCATACTTCATACTGTCACATCATTCAGTGTGAAATAAAATAATTCTACCTGTAAAAAGTCATGTTAGAAACGTGCCATTAAATTATCTGTTCCTTTCATTCCTTATTTTTACATTCATTACTTTCAAAAATGAATGAAATGATAAAAACTACAATGAACCACTAGCTCCACGTCCTCCTAACTAGCCTTCCTTTTCTTGTCCTTGTAAAATAATGAATAAAATTTACCTGTATTTTTCCAGTAACAATTCCCTCTCAGTCAGTTCCCTCTTGGGTTTCACCGGAGTTTTGCTGCCGCCAGCAGTGGAAGCCCTGGAGGAATCCGCCTCCACAGATCTCGATCGTTTTCTGGATCTATCACTGACACTCGATCTCTCCCTGCTTCGTGTCCTCTCGCGAGACCCTGACTCATCTCTCAAGGACGACCTCCTGTAATCCTCGTTTTTGTAGTAATGATTCCTGTCCGATCTCCTGTACCTGTCAACTGGCATTCCCCTACTAGAGTTGGAGCCCTTGGGCCAGTGTTTATTAGGGCCCGACTTCTCTCCGTGGTTTCTCCATTCCTCTCGTGGCTTGTCATACCTGCTACTATTATCGGTGCGTTTAGAATGATCAGGACGATTTACTGCCCCAGAAGATTGATAATTCCAGTCGCCAGCAGCAGTCCTGGCCTTCCAGCCCCCAGTCTTTGGGGCGTTGTTCAATGATTGATCAGAATCCCCCTGACTTCTGCTCCACTGATCGACATTGCTTGTTCCCCACCGAAGCTGCTGTGTTGAATCATTCCCAGGAGATGCTGAAGTGTTTGCATAACCTTGATACGTGTACGGAGTGTAATTATTGTAATTCTGGTGGTAGCAGCCGCCACTCTGAGGGTAAACGTAATTATCACTGGGGGGTTTATCGTACGAATTGTTGTGCTGATAGTTTGGAAAATTGGGAGGTGGCACTCGGAAATTTGGGGGTGGCTGTGAAAAGTCAGGTGGAGGGTAGGGAATCGAGGGATTCGAATAGTATTCTGAGCCCGGCTGGCCTGACATCCACGAATATTGCTCTCCTGGATTATTGCTCGTCATTTTCTTCAGTGACTTGGTGCTTTTTTATTCCATATATGTTGTGTGTTTTTGTTATTGAGATTAGCGATTGATTATCTAGCAGAGGAGCTGTAAATACGACTTTATTTTGCTTGGCTGCTGCTGTGCAGTGTCGAGTGTTGCCAACAATGGAAGAATTTCCACAAGTGTGCGAGTGCTGTGTGTTAGAGCGATTTCCAAAGGCGCAGTGTGGACGAATGAACGCCCCCCCCCCCC